CAGATCCCGAGTGCCGTGTGTGGAAAGAGTGGAACCTTGATCTTTATCTGCGATATCAGACTGGGGTAGCATCTAGGCCTTGAAAGAGATCCCCATTTGAGCTATCTCCCAGGATTTCATCCAAAAGCCACTGGCAGGGGCAGTACCTAAGGTTACACAGGCTTCCCTCCTCCAAATCCCCTGACCCTGTTCTTAGTTTGCTCATCACCAGGGTGGTACCCAGCCCTCTAGTAAGTATCTTACCCATCACAGATATCCCTTTCCATGCTGTGGCCATGCCCTGGCCCAGGGCCATTGGAAAAGGTGATTTAAGGGCAACAACAAAACCTTAGGATACTAGGCAACCTTGATCATGGTTGTACAAATGGGCCTGGTGGGCCTGGGTCTCACTGGAGTATCCAGAGTTTAAAAGCTGCCAAGGGGTAGAGATATATCTCAGTGATTTAACATTTGCATAGCATTCTTGAATCTCTGAATTCAAGCCCCATCACTCCAGGTAAGTGATGGGAGAAAAAAAAAAAAAAAAGAAAGAAAAGAAAAGAAAAAGAAAGCACAGAAGGGAAGGGGAGGTTTACCCAAGGAGGCTTAAAAGACCCTTCTGCCCCTGAGTGAGCTGTGATTGGACAAACCCTCAGCATGTTCTTTGTGGCTGCAGGTTCATGCTGGTCCTGGCCAGTAACCAGCCTGAACAGTTTGACTGGGCCATCAATGATCGTATTGACGAGATGGTCTGCTTTGCCCTGCCACAGCGGGAGGAGCGAGAGCGCCTGGTGAGAATGTATTTTGACAAGTATGTCCTTAAGCCGGCCACAGAAGGAAAGCAGTAAGTGTCCAGCCCCATGGAGTTCCCTTTACTGACCTGGAGCCCGTCTGGGCACTTCATCTTCCTGGGGGTTAGGCCATCTGTATAGGGTCATACAGTATACGTGTGTCCTGGCAGTGGTGGTTCTGTCATAGGAACCCAGCTGCAAGTCTGTCCCAACAGCCCATCCTCAAGTGCTGGGGTCACTGAGGCCTGGGTGTCAAGAGAATGTGGGCCCCTCTTAAATTTACTCTGAGCCTCTTATACCAGGTTTGGAAGTTGCCAGTTACCGTCCTTAGCTGTTGACTGAATGACACGACTTTGTCCTGTCTACTCCTGGAAGCTGCCCTACAGCCATGTTGTGGACAGGGATAGGGAGAAGCCACTGATGCTACTCTGCTGAAGAGGCCTTGGTCCGTGCAGCTCTCACTGCTCTGTCTTGTATGCTCCCCATGCCTTCCATAGCAGAGGCTGCTCTGCTTTCAGCAGTCTCCCGGGGCCACAGCTCCATGGCATTCAGACTCAGTGTCCTGACCTGAATCCCTCCTGCTGCCTGTTGCCTCTCACTGTTCTGGAGAAAACATGGCTTGGCCCTGCCGGTTCCTGTGAGCCCATCCCCCACCCAGGCTGCCCGGGTCTCCTGCCTCTTGCTAGCTGCATATCCCCAGCCTCAGCTCAGGCATGCAACCTATATTCATGTCTCATGTATCTGGCTTTTGGCCAGAGGCTGTTGCTGGGAACTTGGGTTGCAGGCTCTTCCTTACCTGGAGCTCTGCCTGCTCTGTTAGGCTCTCTTCACTGGCTGAGCATTTACCTGCTCCTGCTACTCAGTGCTGAATATGTAGCTATAGGCTGTGTCTAGTGAGTAGGAGTGGGGCTATAGCTCCATCTGACAAGCCTGGCTCCAGCCTGCGCCTCTCTGTAGGTCAGGAGGGATGCTGAGGTTACCTGGCAGAGTTCACCTCATCCAACTGTACAAAAAAGCACCAGTGTCCAGTTCAGGGGGAAGCATCGGATGCAGTGTGATGTTGGGCAGCCTTGCTCCCCCATCTCCCCAGTCCCCTTTGTGTAGAGCCATGACAGCCCAGACCCACGTGGGAACTCTCCCTCCAGGCGCTTGAAGGTGGCCCAGTTTGACTATGGAAAGAAATGTTCAGAGGTCGCCCAGCTGACAGAAGGAATGTCAGGCCGGGAGATTGCTCAGCTTGCTGTAGCATGGCAGGTGAGTTAAGTTCCTGGAGCTCCTTCTACTTGGAAACTTTGTCCCAATCTCCACAGGGAGTTTTATGTTGAATGGTGTTCTAAGCACGGACAGGCATGTGGCCCTCATTCTACTAAGACCACCTCGGGCTGATGAGCAACTCATGGGAGGATGGGGTGATAGTGTCACTGGCCCAGATCTGCAGCACTGTCAGTCTTAGGGGGAATGTCAGGGTGCTAGGGCAGAGGTTTAAGGGTCTCTGGGCAAGTCCAGAGGGCAACTTCTTTGATTTATCTGTTAGACAAATGCAGACAAGTCCAGATCAACGGATGTGTGCTTCATGCATGGGTACTCTTGGGTATCTGACTTTTTAGGACAAGTTCATAATAAAGTTGAGCAGGGGGCCAGGAATGGTCCTCCTGAGACTGGATAAGGGTGTTGTTGGCCACAGTGGTCTATTGTCATTCCCCCAAATGGTGTTTTTACCTCAAAGCTGCCTAGCAACAGCTCCATGGTCCTGTGCAGGGAACTTACACAGCAGGGCAAGGATAATTTAGGACTGTCAGCCCCTCAGTTGTCAAGACAAGCCATATTGATGGAATCGAGGCTACTATGGCCACCTCAAAGCTTTTTGTTAACTTTGTTAACTTTTTGTCATCATGTCCTTGTAACCAAACACTGTCTCAAAAATAAAATGAAAAAGAATACATTGATTTCCCTGGGGTTGTAAGTGGCTGTGATCCACCCAGTGTTGGTGCTAGGGACTGAGCCTGGGTCTTCTCCAAGAGCAGTAAGTGCGAAGTACTGAGCCCCTATTTACTCATTTTTGAGCTGGGGTCTTACTATGTTGCTCAGCCTGGCCTTGAACCTCACAGTCAAGCAATCCTGCCTCATCTTCCTGAGTAGCTGGGACTATAGGTGCACTCCACCGAGTTAGACTTAAAACATTTGAATAGTTGTGGATTTACAGAAAAGTTGCAGCAGAAAAGATGGAGCAGAGGTACCCATGCTGTTGTCTCTGGGAGGTTGTGAACATCATTCTGTTTCACAGCATTGTTTACCCTCACCATGGCTTGGTTGTAGCCCAGAGTCCAGCCCAAGATACCCACAGAATGAGTCTATCCTTGTGTGTTCCACCTCACCTCAGTTGCTCAGCTGGCTGGTGGGTGAGCTCTCCTGTGCTGGGCCCTTGGCAAGGTGTAGCCACTTAGAGCTGTCACCCTGTCTACCCAGCCAGGGCTCCTGTGCAGCCCCCTACCTTGCTTTTGGGCTTAGGTGAACTCAAGCCGGGAGAGTGTCCATAGCTTCCAACCACCTCAAAGTTGGTGGTCTGGCCCTGGGGTCAAGTCTTCCTCCTCAGTGAATCATAACAGAGTAGTGGACCCTAGGTACATTTGTTCCTGGTTGTGCTTTCTTCTAGAAGAGACAATACCATTACAGACATCTCCTCACAGGTGACAGTGTCGTGGCAGAACTGTTCCTTAATGTGTGTCCTAGTGCCCTGGGTGGAAAAATCTCCCTTCATTACATTCAGGCATCTGGGTTCCTAGTTCCCTCCTGGGCAGTGGCTGCGAGGCTCGCTTTGCCTCATCTTCGGGATTCTTCATACCCTGTGCTGATGTCTGCTTCAAGCAGAAAACCAGCAGGAGTGTGGTCTCAACCACCTATGAGCCCTGGCCCCTTTATAGTGCTAAAGGCTACAACTTGACCAGTTCAGACTCCTACTGGCTGGTCTTGAAGTGCCGTCCTCAGGGAGGACAAGGCAGTGAGAGAGGCCATGGTCATCCAGAGGGAATAGACATGAAAAGGAACAGGTATCCAGAGAGTACCACTTGGCTCTGGTTAGAGAAGCCTCACACTAATGTCATGTGGCCTGAGGTGGGCCCTGGCGACAGTAGAAACTGTTCTGGAAGCTTGTAAATGACACAGCTGAATAACCAGGCCTGAGCAGCACCATGTGACCTATACCCCTGAGCTGGTGGGTGGATCCAGAGTCACTTACAGGCTTATAAGGGTCTGCGTTTGTGTCCAGCTCAGAGGGAGTTACCTGTCTGTGTATGGAGGGGGAACAGCTCTGTTTAGGTTTTATATTTTAGAAAGTCCTTGAGAAATTTTCAACAGAAGTAGTGCGGGGGCTGTGGGCCCACTAATAAGTTCTGGTATGCCCACCGTGCTAGTGCCTGAGGAGGCCTCTGGTTCCAGATTGAGGGCCTTGGGCCTCCCTGTGCAAGCAGCCAATCTCTCCTTCTGTGCCCTCTTTTCTACCAGGCCATGGCATATGCCTCTGAAGATGGGGTCCTCACGGAGGCCATGATAGATGCCCGAGTGCAGGATGCTGTTCAGCAGCACCAGCAAAAGATGCAGTGGCTTAAAGCTGAGAGGCCGGATGCTGAGGCCAGCAAGCCAGCGAGTCCTTGATGCCTCAGCTGCTGAGCCAGACCTGGACACCTTGTACACCGACTCTGCAAGAGGCCAGCAGTGCCCTGGCTGCCTCTGCCCAGCTGTAGGGTGCTGGTGCCGTCAGTGTCTATGCCTCCCACACCTAGCCTGTGTCTCTCCGTGAGTGCTGGCAGCGGAAGGCAGAGTGCCTTCCTGTCCCACAGTGCACTGGTGAGACATGTCTACAGGGCTGGATTGGAGGAGAAAGGAAGCAGAGTGCTGCACCGCAACAGCACTGGGGCCTGCAGGGACCAGACTGAAGGCAGGGAGGGCCCTCTGCTTCCTGGACATTGCTTCTGCCGTGTATACATCTGTGCCAAGAATTGGCCCAGTCCTTACTTGGTAGGGTGGATCTGGTGCTAGACGGCCCCTGGCCAGTGACATCCAGGATATAGAGCTGCCACCTTGCCCTTGACTGGATCTGGGCCTTTTGCATCCAGAATCTTAATAAAACTGTGACTGACTTGCTGGTTGTGTCTTAGGCTGTGGTGGGGTCTGGATGGAGGGGCCTTAGTAGCCCTTGGGCTCAGAGATGATGGAAGAAGCAGAGGCTGGAGCTTTCTGGAGAATTTACTGGCCAGGCAGGGTGGGCTTCACAGTGAGGGCTGGGCACCTGGGGCCACCACATCCTATTGCTGCTGGGGCCCCGCCCCTCCAGTCCCGCCCTCCAGTCACACACGCCCCATGCACATGCTCCCGTGTGCAGATGGGCGCAGGCCCTGACACATCCCTCCCCTCCGGACGGACGGATGGATAACAGGTGCTCAAGAAACAGTGGCTTTCAGTGAGATGTGGCTTTAGGCTAGCAAAAGCCAGGCCTCTCCCCACTGGACCCACCACCCCTGGCCCTGACACCTCTGAGCGCCTGCCTCTGTGTCCTGCTCACTGCGGAGACCAGGCTGCTGTCCCTGAAGCCCAGTGGCCATCCCCACCCCAGCCCCCACCCGACCCCTTTATAAAAAGAAGAGACAGCACCTTCCACTGGATTTGCCTGCTGGCCACAGCCCAGCTGGCCACAGCCCAGCATACCCTGGGCCTGAGGCCGCAGTCCCGCTTGCCAGCGTCCACGAGGTCCTGGCGTGCGCACGGCAGCCCTGAGGCGCCTGAGGCGCACTCACAGGTGCCGCGGGCTGGGGTGGCCGTTGTGGTAGAGCTTCTGTTTCACGTGCACCATGTTCCCCGTGGGCTCCTCGAAGGGCCTGTGCGGCCGCCGGCCCAGCTCCCGCAGGCTGCACAGCTTGGGCAGCCAGGTCCACGAGCCATCTGCAGGGGGACAGGGCAGTCAGGTGGCCAGGCTGTGCCAGAAGTGGTGCCCGCGGCAGCGCGAGGCACTCACCATAGCGCCGACCAGCCCTCCAGGCGCGCACAGCGCAGTGCAGGACACCGTCCATCCACACCAGGAACCAGCTGATGCAGAAACCCAGCAGCAGGCCCAGCATAAGGTCGATCTCCTGCTTGGTCACATTGTCTGTCACAAAGTAGTTCTCAGAGGCGTCCACCACCGACTGGTCCCCGTCGTACGGGATCACGTAGTGGATGTGGTGCCTGGGGGCGGCAGGGTGGGCTGGCACATCTCCTGCCAACCCTGGCCCAGCCTTCCCCAGGTCCGTGCTGGGCTGGCTAGGGGACCCAAAGTGGATGGTTTGAGTCCTACGGGCCACCCTAGGAAGTTCTCTGGAGCGATCCCTGTGTGCTGGGTTGGGAGGGACAACAGCGCCCCCAGGCCCAGATCAGGTCACATGGCAGAACTGCTGGGACAGGTGGAGACAGTAGCCCTGGAGATCAGGTTCGAGGAGGGTAGGAATGGTTGGGATGAAATGTCAACCCAACCCTTCCAAAGGTCCCTGTAGCAGGGTTCACCTTTACCCACTGGTCCTGAGGGGCTCCCGAGGTCCTCACACAGCCAAATGACCAAAGCCCACCACAAGTGCCCCTTGGCCTCCACATACTGCTCTCAAGCCACCAACAAGAACAGCGCTGGTTCTTGTTGACCCTCACTGTCCCTGCCTTGGGCCCCTGGCTTTCAGTAGCTACCTCCTGCCCATCCTGCTGGAGGCTTTGTCTTTCCTCCCTCATTCATGCCCACCACAGGTCATATTCTGTCATCAACTCAGTGTATGTTTGCAGGTATTCAAACAGGACAAGTTTTAGGGCCCTCTCCTATGTGTAGGCACCCTCTAAGGCCCTGGTCTCTTTGTGCCTCAGCCACAGGCACAAAGTCTCTTTGCCCCTGTTCTAGCTAGGCTTTGTGGAACTGTCCGCTGCCCTCATACCCTAGATCATCTCGCAAGGTTCCTGCTGGCTGCTCATCCCCCTTTCAGAGCCGTGTGAGTACCACTTCCAGGCAGTCCTATCCTGTTGTTCAGGTGGGGTAGGCTAGCTGGTGGTCCAGCTCCACAGAGCCGGCAGACTGGAGGTACGAATCCACTGGTTTGGGTACCAAGGGGGCCACGGGCCACCTGACAGCTTCTGCTGAGACTGCCTTTCCTGGCCCACCCACTTCTAGAGCCACTTGTGGGAGAGCCTTCTTTCCACTGCCCACCGTGTCTGCTAGGAGCCCCAGCTGCCTGTGAGTACGTGGGATCTACAGACACCTCAAATGCAAGCTGAAAATAGCTTCTTGCTTCCTAAACCCGCACCTCTTCCTCCTCTCAGTGAGAGGCTGGGCCCTGTGCCTGTCTACAGACCCTCAGCTAGTCCCCAGTTAAAAATGTCCTCCCTTGTGCCCATTTGCTGATGTCCCTGTGCCCAATAAAGGGCACATGGATGCTTCCTCACAGCGGGGTTGGTATTCTTAAACCTGGAGCCAGGTGAGCACGGAGAGGGAGGGGCAAAGCGCTTTTGATCTTGGGACCACTTGGGGGCTAACTCTGGTCTATAGTTCAGCCAGCCCCATTGGGTGAAGCTTAGACTGCCAGCCTTCAGTCGGCTGGAGCTGCCATGACTGACACCCAGCAGCCACCACTCCTCTGCTCATGAGCAGCCACTGTCATGATGGATGGATGCTACTGATCCTGATAGAAAGCATTGCTGGTCAGGCCCTGGAGGAGCTAGCAGGGATTGCTGCAGGCTCTGGTGGGACTAGGTCACCCTGGGTCCAGGTCCTTCCTCTGGACTGTCCCCAACATATAGCTGCTCCAGGAAAGGAAACACAAAGAAGCTACCAAGGAAGTCAGAAGGATCCTAGGTGGCCTAGGATCCAAGTAGGGCACTGTGAGGCCCCAGCCACCCCGGGGCCTCAGGAATCCAGGGGTGACAGGTTATGACCTGTGCCCTGTGGCTAACTTGGGTACCTACAGTTCTTCCTCCCCTGGCCTGGCTCCTCCTAACTCCATACCAAGCCCCTGATGGGAGGGCCTCAGGTCTGAATGAAAGCAGGGTGTACTGTGTGCAAAATGAATGTCTTCGATGTGTCCTGTCTTCATGACACATGCTGCCATGTGTCCACGTGAGGTCCAGTGTGTGTCGTGTATACACGCTGTCCGCATGCACAGGACACAGCATGTATACTGTGGACACGGGTCCCACAAGCCCCACACCCATGCAGTGTGCACACTTTGGGTATGAGCACGGTGCGTCAGCAGAAATGCACGTTCACTCAGCTTTGCACCAGCTGCCCTTTCTGCGGGACGCCGGCATGTGCACGGACCTGTGTGCACACACGTGCTGCCTGCTGCTGTGCTTTGTTCAGAACAGTAGTTACATACATGTCTTCTGTGTAAAAGTCTGTAAACACATATACGAGGCAGACACGTGTGCAGCTCTTCTACAAAGTGTGGACACCACATGTGTACATGGCATGTGCACAGACACCCCATTGGCAAACTACCCTGCAGTCACTGCGCCCACACTGAGATGTGTTGACACTTTTCCTGAGCACACTGAACTGTATATTGTTTTATATACATGTACTTTGCATACACATATATGTAATCAATATACAAAAGTGCTTTGTACAACGAATTACATACCCTGTATGTAGAGTTGCGTACAAAGCACATACATGTAGAGAGACACACGCAGAAACACTGTCCACAGCAAGATGTGGCTCTCCACATTTCTGCACACACAGGCCTTGCTCCAGGTTCCACTCCACAGGTGTCTGTTTACATGGTCCACAAGTACTCCAGATGCTACATGAGATGCACACATGTAAACTGTGTAAACATACTCTAAGAACACACACTGTGCTCAGGTGAATATTCAGTGTGCCGTCGTGGATAGTGCGACACCAACCACGTCATAAATGCCCCTGTATGTAGTGTCCGTTCCCAGTGTGCACGGCCCAGTGCTGGGCCCAGTATGTGGAACACACCTACAGACATGGCCGGGAGCAGCAGAGCTAACCTCATGTCTCTTCTGAGCCCTCTGATGTACAGAGGCGCTGGTGCGCACCAAGCCGGAGCACGGGGCTCCCGGGGAAGAGTGCCACACAGCCACATTTCCTACCATGCCTGGTGCATAGGAGGGTCGTGTACCTCCCCTCCACCTGCTGTGGTGCCTGTGATGTGCGACACGCCCGCCTGCACCCACAGCCATATATGCACTTAGGAAGCGCGCAACTGTCCTGACATGCCCACACCCCGCTGTGTGGGAAGACCTCTGGAGCAGAACCATAGGGTGGGGTGGGAGCTGAGGTTCTGGGACTCAGCCCCATTCCTTCCTAGTAGTGTAACCTTGGGCAAGTCTACCGTCTAAAGCCTCCATCCACTTCCTCCTAGTCTGTCCAGGAGGGACGACGGTCATCGCATGAGGGCATCTCTGAAATGAGCGCATGCGGATGTTCGAGTGCGCTGTGTACGCACATGTATATGCACAGACGGTACACACATGCGCGGCTCATGAGAAGATGTTTATTTCATACATGGACATACAAACATGCAAGGCCAGAAGACTTTGTCACTACACATGCACAGTAGGGAGGTCCCTGGAGGGTGTGGTGGGTCTCACTGTGACCTTGAGCAAACCTCAGCCTACTTCAGCTCCTCCTCTGCACAGTGATCATCTGTGGCAGGTGTCCCTCAAGGCGGGCCCTTTCTATCGTGACCTCCTGCACCTGTCTGCCATGGACACAGTAGGCCCGGGAGGAAGACCTGGCTCATAGGCAAGACTACTGTCCCAGGCTTAACCAGCTTCCTGGCTTCCACTGTGGGAACTACTCGGGAATGCTGCTCTTAGGTAGGCCTCCCGGCCCTGGGACCAGGAGGCTCCCTGGCCCACAAAGCCACTGCCAGGCAGCCCTTTCTCTAGAGGACCTGACTAACAGACTCAGTCATGCTACCTTTCCCAGGGAGGCAGCCGGCTGACCTGGGGTTCCCGTTGGCCACCCCTCCCCCCAGCACCTGGCGTGCAGAAGCGGGCCCCCACCACTCAGCCAGGCTCTGCGGCCCGGCCTGGTCCGGGCTCGCCGGCCAAGTGGGGCCCGCTGCACAAGTGTGATCACGCGTGTCGTGCCTAGAGCTGGGGCGCACTCACCGGCCACAGTTGCAGTGGCAGACGCGGTCCTCGCCCCGCAGGTGCGGGAGGATGTAGTTATGGAATCGGTCCAGCAGCGCGTTCATGTCCATCAAGCACGCGATGGCCTGGAAGAGCCCATGACCAGTCAGGGCAAAGGAGTGGGCCGGACGCAAGGGGGTGCCGAGGGGGAGCGTTGGGCTCCCGGGGTGGGTGGTGGGGTGGATGGGTGGGGAAACGCAGGGCGGTCAGGGCGAGGGCCGCGAGAGGCAGCAGCGAGGGTAGCGCAGGGCGAGCCGCGGAGGGCGGCGCAGGCCGCGCGGGCCGGTAAACAAGGAAGCGAGGTGGGGTAGGCGCGCGCGCGGGCGGCAGAAGCAGGGGGCGCGCGCGGGAAGCCCCTCCGCTCACCATCACGATCGACGCCCCCAGAATCATGAAGATCATGGTGTTCGCACTCATGGACATCGGGCGGGGCCGGGCCGGGCCGGAGCGCCGCCCCCCGGCCCCGGTGCCCCTCCCGGCCCCGGCCCGATGCTGAGCCCGCGCCGCCTCCGCAGAGGTCAGCGCTCGCGCGACAGGCCGCCGCGGGCCCCGGGGGCAAGCGCGGGCGCAGGCAGCAGAGACGTGGGGGCCGCTGTGGGGTCGCTCGCCCGCTGCCCGTTGCTGGCCGCACTCCGCTCCGCCCTCCGGTGCTCCCTGCGCCCGGCTCCCTGCGGTCGGCGCGGCGGCCCCCTCCCTCCTCCCTCTACCCTCCTCCGGGCTTCTCCCTCCCTCCTTGTCTTCCCCACTATCTCCTCCCTCCTCCTTCTGCCTCCGCCTCCGGGGAGGGACTTTGCTGCCCCGCGCCGGCATCCAGGGTCTAGGTTCTCCACTCCTATCCTAGTGACGCAGGACGAGACCCCTCCCCTCCCACCTCAGCTCCACATTTCGGTCCTAGCTCATCAGCCTTGGCTCTGGGTCGCCTTGCCCTGTGCCGTGCTGGTCTCGGCCTTGACCTGGACCGGGTGGTCTTTTCTGCCCCACTTCTCTAAGAAAGCCTCCCCTCCCCCCTAATGGGTCCTGTTTCCAAATAGGGATAGGAAGGTCAGCACCCAGTTTACAGCAAGAAAATGCCCTCAGGAGGGGCCGGCAAAGTCAGAGGAGCCAGGGACTCTGACTACATGAGCAGAGGTAGGAGAGCAAGAATGGGCCAACCAAGGATGCCATAAAGATTGTGGCAATAGTGGGGAAGACTAACAGGCTTCTGGGAAGAAAGGGGTGCTGGGAAAGTAACCTGAAGCGGGTAGCTCAGTGTCTGTGGTCCTGTTGTGGCTGCCTGTGATACTGGGAACCAAACTGAGACCCAAGCCCTTGTCCCATCCACAGAGCTGACAACCTAAGAACCAACCCTGCCTTGTGTGACCAAGACAGTATCGGGACAGCTGCCCTCCAGCCCCAAGCAGAGACCACTGCTTGCAGAGGTTCCGACTGGAGAGTCAGCTGTAGCTCTCAGGAAGGTATCACAGGGCTGGACTCAAGGGCCCTCATCAGCCTTTTCCTTTGCAGGGAGTCAGACCAGGAATTCAGGACAAATCAGACTTCCAGCAGCACCTATTTTGTGGCGATTCCAAGTTTTTCCCTCCAGTAAGACAGCCTATCGCTTTATTTGGGTTCCTGTACAATCCAGCAGTGGAAAGACAGGCGGGCCAACAACAGACACTTACTGTAGCTGTACAGTAAACCATCTTTTATTTCTTTTGGTTAAAAACAATGGATTTGACCCTGGCATGTCTGTGTACTTTCATTCTGTATGTACAGTACATTGATGATGTCCACCCAGCAGTATAAACAAACTTCAGAAGGGAAAACACACTGGAAATGGCTCCAAAGGTGGCAGTGCAGGGCAGGCCCCGCCCCGCTTGGGGCTCAGTAGAAGCAGACAGTGTGCAGGAAGGCCCGGCCGCTCTTCTCCTCGAACTCCTGCAGCAGCTCATCGATCTCATTCTCCATGTCCTCAGTGTGCTGGATCTGGGAAAAGCAAAGCTTTGAGTGATGCCTAGGGAAGGGACATGCCTTCCCTAGCCCTGCCCCACACCGCATCTGCTTGCCCTCAGGGGACCAGGCCAACACAATGACCACAGCAGCACCCCATATTGGGAAGTGGTGGAGCGAGGTTCAAAGGGAGGACCCAGGGCTGGAACCCAGACTCTGCGTTCAGGTACCACAGGTCCAGGAAAGTCTCACCAGCCAGTGCTGTCCCAGCCTTGCACTGAACGCAGCGAGGCACACAGAGCTATGGGCACTTTCCTACAGCTGTCCAGTGCAGAGGGGACCACGCTTTGTGGCGGGGCAGGCTGCATGCTGCAGCGTGTTAGCAGCACGTCTGGCCTCCACCCCCAGACACCAATGGCTTCTCCAGCAGTTCCTTGAACACATCAGGTGGAGCATGCTGGCTGCTGACCACACTGCCCTGGCTACAGTCTCCTCTGTCTCAGCCCTTTGCCCACATCATCAGCCAAACCACAAGCTCAACTTTGGGAACTCCAGCAGTGACAGTCAAAGTGGAAGCTGTGTAAGTTCAGGAGTGTGGCTCCTCCACACCAAGGCACTGGCCTTCACTTGGTGAGCCCAGAGGACATCAATTCTGTCCCAGTCAGCTAACCTAAGCACACTTCTCAAGGGCAAAAGGCAGGACAAGGCACATGGCTGTTCCCACAGAGTCTCCCACAGCATCTGAACAGAGTGACACCTCCACACAGCAGCACACAAGCCTTTAGGAAGGGGCTGCAAGACTGCCTTCAAAGATGGGCACAGAGGCAGGCATGTGCGGGGGCACACGCCTGTGATCCTGGCACGTGCGGAGGGAGAGGCAGGTGGATCTCTGTGTGAGTTTGAGGCCAGCCTGGACAGCCAAGGTAACATGGAGAAGCCCTGTCTGGAAAAACAAAACAAAACAAAAGGTAAAAACAGAGGGTAAATACCGGGAGAATGGACACAGACCCCTACCCTGTGGGTACTACTCTGGGAGTCCCCAGGCTCAGCTTTGACACTGTCCATTCTTCCAGGAGAGGGGCGTGTGACCTAGGAGATGTCATTCATCCCTTCCACCATTAACAGAAACACTGGGGTAGGTTCTCAAGCCAAAGGCATTTGGTCAACTTCCTAGAGAGTGCATCTCTTGGTCTTTATTTGAAATTCAGTATTTGACCAGGTTGTGGAAATAAGTTGCTGGTAATGCGAGAGCTGCACCAGGCGTGGCTGCAGCAACAAGGGCAGGGACAGCCCAGACCCAGGTGCTAGACTCACACACTGGCAGAGCTCGCAGATGAGGAAGGCCCCCAGGGTGGCCTCTTCGTGGTTGTCCTGGATGTCCACATTGACCACATGCACTGGCTGACAGGTCTCCTGTTCTCTGGAGTTCAGATCTGATTGGAAACAAGAGATATGGCTATTACCAGATACCAGGTGGCAGATGTTTCCAAGCCCAGTTCCCACCATACCTGCCCCTGATCTCTGGAGAGTATAACTTGAGGCTTGAACACCCACACCCACAGGGAATTAACATGAGGAACAGCCACACAAAATAGGCAAAGTGAAGAAACCTAGGTAAACAGTGCCCTCAACTCAGGCCGTACTATGGCAGCCAGTACTGGCATCAACATCACATTCTAAAATGCCAGGCCTAACAAATATGAAAAGCAAACACTGAGGCCACTGAGGCTTAGAGAGACAGAAAGTTTTACAGGTCCTCCTGCTTACTCCTCACAGGCTTCCCTGCAGAGGTCCATGCGGGTCAGAGGATGAGGGGGGAGCCCTCTGTCTCTATCAACTGTTGCCCAGGGCCTGAAGCGTAAGCCTGTTTTCCCATCCATCTTCCAGCCTGGCGCTGATGGCCAAGTCTGAATGGCAGATGAGGCTCTGTGCACTCACCTTCTACAACTTGGTCATAGACTCTCTCTTCACAAGTGAGGATCAGGTCAAACAGGTCCTTGCAGTTCTGGAACCTTTCTGGCCGGGGTTTGATCCTTTTATTTCTGTCCAACATATGTAAAATTCCATTTTGTGTATAGCTGCACACCACAGTCAAGGAGCTTTGGGCATGATAGGTCACTCACCTAGACCTGTCTGTAAATCATCTCCTGCCTCTCAGGGCTCCAAGCTGGCCCTTGTCAACAGAAGCATCACAGCTCTAGGCCTTAGCGCAGGCGGGGTGAGCACTGCTAGACAATAGGAAGCACAGGAAAAGTCCTGACTGCTTGAAAGATATCATGAGTCCTGGGGTTCTCAAACCCACAGAGCGGCTCCAGACAGCCTTGGCCATCCTGAATAAACAGACAGAGGCATGGCGCTGGCCGCCTCCTCTCAGGACAGAGGCCTTTACCTCTATCATATTAACCACAGCTCTAATCACCAGCTCTTAGCTCTAATTAAGTATCTCTCACCTGTGCCTTTTTTGTTTTATTATCTCATCCAATTACAGGGCAAAACACTTGTTTCCTCTCAAACTGGAGCCCTACTGCAAAAATAAAGCCAGCTAAGCTTTAGCAGGAAGAAAATCTGGAAAAATCCATTGGTGTTTTTCTTTTTTCGAGACAGGGTTTCTCTGTGTAGTCCTGGCTCTCCTGGACTCCCTTTGTAGACCAGGCTGGTATCAAACTCAAGAGATCTGCCTGCCTCTGCCTCTGAGTGCTGGGATTAAAGGTGTGGGCCATTAGGCTTCCACTAAATTTCTTAAACCTCAGCAACAAAAGAGTCTGGAAAATCCTAACGGATGGTCCAGAATGGCCAAGTTCTGGTTCAGCTGAAAGCAACAGACTGCTTGCTAAGTCCAAGGGAATATCCCAGATGGTACTTCCAGGCTCTGGCCCATCAGCCCTGGCAAAAGCCAGGAGAGCCACTGTCTCTGGGGTCTTCAAGTTTGGGCCACACTATCCCCACTGGGTGCATATCCTTAGACAGTCCCTGGAGCACCATAGTGTAAAGTCTCCACTGTGCTTCTCTGGACACTTAGAAACAAGCATTTGTTTTAGAGAAACAGAAAGGCTATTCAGTCAGTCTGTCCTATCATATGTGGTCAGGGACCGAGCTTGGGTTAACAATCTTCAGCACAAGTGCCCTTTCCCACTGAGCATCTCATCAGCATGCCACCTTACTCAAGTCCACAGTGCTTTAAAAAATTGCTCCTACATTATGGACAGTAAAGGCAGCTTTTAGTACACATTTAGGTGGTTGGTCTAAACAGTTTAACTTGAAGATACCCTGAACAAGAGCTACTGGGCAGTTCCATTTCCTGCATCATCGGCTGCTCCTGGGGACAGACCCTGGAGCATGGAAATGTTCCTGTCTTCTGCTGCCTACCAAAAGAGCTGCATCCAGGCTTATGGAGTCCTTCAAAGGTACTGGAGGAGAGGATTAGTGTCAGACCAAACCCTGTGACGGGCACAACTTCTGGGAAAGAGGAAAGGAGTGGTGGACATTCTTGGGGGGCGGGGATCCAATCAAGATCCAGGCACTCAGGTCCAGGCTGACCCCAAGGAAAAGCTGGAGAGTGAGAAAGTCACACGGCTAGAGCTGGGGTAGTAGGGAAAACCACTTTGCATTCATCACTCCCCAGAGTCAGGTCCACATAGGAGGGCCCTGCCTGGGAAGGCCCTGTCACTGTCTCCACCACATAGACACATCCCGCCTGAACAGACTGCTTTTAAGCAACTACACTCAACGAAGAACCAGCTGCTTTTTGAAGGCTGAAAATCCTGCCAGCACCTAACCTGAACCTTTTTTGTTTGTTTTGGTGGTTGTGGTGGTGTGGTTAGAGACAGAGTTTCTCGGTGCTTAGCTCTGGCTGTCTGGAACTAGCTCTGTAGATCAGGCTGGCCTCAAACTCAAGAAATCCACCTGCATCTGCCTCCCAAGTGGTGAGATTAAAAGCACATGGCACCATGACCCGCTGAACTTCCGACTTCTGAAAAACTCCAATTACCAGCCAAAATCTAGGTTGGAGGCTAGGCTAGGCTAGGATGTGGTAGACACAGTAGACAACCGCTTTCCCAGGATTCCTCGTCCTTGTTGCTTTGTTTTTGACAGCCTTGTTGAGCAGCCAGTTACCTGGACAACTTCATGAGATCTGACTTAAGCAGGGCTTGGGCTGATGCTCACTTGGCCAAGCCCTGGGATTTGCAGCAAAGCTTTCTAGGAGCCATGGAAGCTGGTGTCGAGTTGGTAATGCCTTCGGGTTCTAATTAGCCAGTCCCTGGAGTGAGATTCCTAAAAGCTGCGGGTTGGCCTATGACCAAGTCTGGACAGACATCTATATGCAATGAACTAATGGCTTGCTTTCTCCTGAATAAAGAGCCACTCCCACCAGACCCTGGAACCCCATACTTGTCCCTGTTGGCCTTCTGAGGAGCCTCCCCTGGAGACTGAGTGAGGGTGGGGAACAAGGTTCATACAGGGTTCACACCGAGGGCCCCAAAAGACTTGAAATGTTGTCTCACAACAAAAGCACATTTCAGGATCATTTTAAAACATCTGGATTCACCATCACACCAACACTTCAAGTTGCTTTCCTGTGGAACACACAATTTCTTAATACGAAGTGATAGGATAGGATGGATAGAGAGGAACAGGGAACTCTGGATCTGGGGTTCCTGGTGGACTCCTTGTAATCCTAGCAGTCAGAGGTAAAGGGGGGGAGGTCAACTTCAGCTACACAAGTCTGAGGGAAGCGTGGGCTACATGAGATCCTGCCTCAGAGTAGAGAAAGAGGCTGTAGAGATGGCTTAGCAGTTGAGTGCTTACCATTCCAGTCCAGTTCCATTCCCAGTGCTCACCCAGACTGCAGAAAGCCTTTAGCATCAGCTTCAGGGGCTCATATCCTTTTTTCAGTCTTTTCAGGCATCCATATTTATAAAAAATAAAAACTACAAGCTAGGCATGGTAGATTGTGTTTGTTAATCTAGGACTTACAAAGCCGAGGACTGCATAGTCTTAAGCCAGCCTGGGCTACCCATTGAAGTCTAAGTTTAGAGAGAGACCCAGCCTCAGAAAACAAAAATGAGAAATGGGGCAGTCACAACTTTCTTTGGTCTCCACACACACAGAACTTGTTGACATACTGTCATCTCCTCAGCTACATTTAGGGCCATGAAACTGAAGAGGCCTAGTTCCTTACTGGCCTGTCTAGGATCATACAGCACCTACTCTTGGGAGTAGATACCCATTCATCCACTAATAATTTAGAGGACGGGACAGGTGTAGTCCTGATCCCATATTTCCTAGTTAAGCTATTTCTACAGCTGACTTCATGGACACCAAGTATGGGCTCTTCATATAGCAATAGCAGCTGGTGGGAACAGAGCCAGGCATCCTCAGGTACCCACAACAACAAAAGTCTGTCTTCTCTAGAGCACATGGCTTTAGAAAGAACACCTTATGAAGCAGGGCCAGACTAGTGAGACCCACAGACAGGCTCTCAGCATCAAGGTCGACAGAAGATGAAGCTTCAGTTCTTATCTGTGCCCAGCCACCAGCTGGAGCCTCAGCAGGAGAAATGGTTCCAGAAAGGTTGGCCACCGAGGGCAAGGTAAGCACTCTGGAGAAAGGGAAACTGCATAGGGCAGGAACTGCTAACAGCCAGGCACCTACTGATCTTTTGGCTCACCAGTGCTCACAGTCTTTTTGGCTAATATCACAAAATGCCAGCACCTGTTGTTAGGGGGTCCACAGATCTGCAGTACCTTCAAGCACAGGTTTCACCCATCCTGCTGTTCAGAAGCTAGCCAAGGGGCCCACAAGTTAGCCTTCATTTTCTCAGAAACCCAACCAACCACATTTAAGACATGATTGACAGAGAACACATGGAAATGTTCTGAGATAGGACCGGGGTGGAAACAGAATCCTGACTGGTTCTCAGCTATGCCTTTGACACTATCCTGACACTCCCAGGTTAGAACCTCCTCTCAGTCAGAGATGCAGTTGGAAAATGCTGCTGGGCAGAGGGACAGCTGCAGGACTCTCAGCCCCTCAGAGAAGCCGAAAGCAGGCTTGAAGGGGACACCAAGTTCCCTTCCAAGTCACCACAAATCTGGCATGGTGGCACACTCCTTTAATCCCAGCACTCAGAAGGCAGAGGCAGGCAGATCTCTGAGTTCAAAGCCAGCTTAGTTTGCTCAGTGAATTTCAGGCGAGCCAGGTCTACAAAGTAGACCTTGTGTCTCAAAACAAAACAGCTGCCATCAAGAATAATAAACTTATTAGCTGTGCATGGTGGCACATGCCTGTAATCCCAGCACTTGAGAAGCAGAGGCAGGTGGATCTCTGTGAGTTTGGGGCCAACTTGGTCTACAAAGCGAATCCAGAACAGCCAGGGCTACACCGACAAACTGTCTCAGAAAATAAATAAAATAAACAAAAAAATAAAATAAACTTAGCACTTGGGAGGTGGAGGCAGAGGCAGAGGCAGAGGCAGGCAGATCTCTGTGAGTTAGAGGTCAGCCTGGTCTACAGAGAGTTCCAGGACAGCCAGACCTACACCAAGAAACCCTGTCTCGAAAAAACAAACAGAAAGATTGAATAAATCTCAAATGAACTAATGAAATCATGGTTTGATTACCAGCCATACAAGCTTGAACAGATCCAGCCTCATCTCAAGAGTGCTTACTGAAAATTAACGAATTCTTTAGAGCTGAGTGGCGACACCATTAAGAAACGATGACTAGCTGGCCGGTGTACTGTTTACCAGCCACCATCCTTTAAGCTCAGGGTTTTCTGGCTCGCAAATTCTTTGTGTCTATGTGTGCACATGCAGGGAGAGCACAGCCTCGGTGCTGTCACCTGTTCTGCTGGGACAGGACCTCATCAATGACCAGAAACTCACCAATAGGGTTGGCTAGCTGGCCAGAGAGGCCCAAGGATTCACCCGTCAATCCTCCCCAGCAGAGGTTCATTTGTTTGCTTGTTTGTTTTTTGAGACAGGGTTTCTTTGTGTAGCCTTGGCTGGCCTGGACTCCCTTTGTAGACCAGGTTGGACTTGAACTCAGAGATCCACCTGCCTCTGCCTGAGTGCTGGGGT